GAGTGGTTGTGGATGGATTTCTCATGGCTGACTCATGCCTGCACCTCTATTTCTCAACTATTTCAGGGCTTGAGCTCTCCCTTGATCCTGCATTTCATGTCTGCTGTACACCTGGGTCTAGAGCAAGCCGTTTGGCATGCAGAATAAATGCAACACAGTGATGGTGTGCAGGATGTCCTGTTGTAAAGGGAAATAATTGAAATAGGGAGGGGAGAGGAATTGCAGTGGTGGTCTTAGCATTTTTCTTGAGTCATTCTTTCCTGCTTCCGTGCCCCATGATTTAATAGTGAGAAATGCTGAGCTAAAACACACCTGCACACCTGACAGTTTGAAGGCTGTCGGCCATTAATAATTGTTGCTTCTGATGCAATCTGAAACATGTCTGGAGCAGTACATTTGAACTGAATTTCACATATGTAAGGTGTGTTGGTTTCTTAATCTATAAAGTATGTGAAGACAGAAGAATATTCTCTGATGTTAGGCTCAATTTGCTGGATTGAATTGCAAGGCAGGTCAACTTTGAGTTGGCTTAATTTATCATCTCATGATAAAGCAAACTGAGCCACCCTAAATTATGAAAGGAGATGACTTAGGAAATAGGATCACTAGAACAATGTGCTGTATATTGGGAGGTTTGCTGTATTTTTTTTTCCCAAATGTTAGTTGATAATCTTGTTGGATTCCTGTCCTTTGCCCTACTGGCACACGCATGGTCCTTTCTAGCACGCACTGAATGCCGTAATTTGCATAAAAATTGCAGAGTCTTGGAGGAGAGGGGGATTCAGAGAAATATAATGAGAAAAAATATAAATAAAATAATAAAGCGTGTTCCTCTAAGGAATTTCTGTCATTCTGGATAAAAAGAACCTAATACATGTTGTCTTACTGTCCCACAACTCAATTAACCAGCAGATGGGATCCAAGAAATATGAGTACTCCACTAGACACAGAAAATTGGGTAGATATGTTACAGAAATGGCAGGCAGTTTTTCCTCTTTTTGTGGTGTTGTACAGGAAAAAAGACCTGGAGAGGTGTCTTCAACACAATTAAGTGGAGTGTTGAATTATGTGTTTTGCTGCCTGTGCAGCATCACAGTTTCTCTGTAAAATTGGTGGAACATGGTGATAGCTACAAAATGGTGGGAGCATTTCAGCAACAGAGTGAGGGAGCAGATGAGATGGTGCATTGGCATCTATTTCCTTCACCAGTTTTAATCATAATTTAAAATCAGCAAGGTGGAAGCCTGCCTTCATCTGTACTTGAGTTATTTTTTGTAAAGAAGAGTAGATTAAACCTATGATTACAACAGACGGGAAACTTTACAGAGAAAGAAGTGGTACTTTTTACTAAGCAATTTTACTGTACACCGTGCACTTTCACGAGTGTAGATCTTTATACTGTCTTTCTCATTTTTCAAATGACTTCTGCAGTTAAAGCAACATCAGTATCCTAAGTGGAAAAGAAAGCAAAAGTCTCTCCTGAAAAAAAAGAGAATTAGATAAAATTGATTATATTTTACATATTTTTTTTGCTTTTCTCTTATAGAAAAAGTACAGAAAAGGATCTGTGGATATTTCAAGAATTAAATGTGTAGAAGTTGTAAAAAGTGATGGTATTATTCCCTGTCAAAATAAATATCCATTTCAGGTATGTTCCTTTTGTGTAAAATATATAAATTACATGGCTCTTTTCAACAGCACCAAGCCATTTGGATGTAACTTGCTTGAAATTACTGTCGCTTCTGAATACTGAGCCTGTTCTCTGGCTCTCTGGGGTTGTGTGGGAGGTAGTTCAGGATCAGTGATTAAAGCCTGACCCCACCAAGCTCTGCTCCCCCTGCAGTCCCCTCCCTTGGGAGCTGTGCCTCATACACTTGGTCTTTTTCTTTTCCCCACCCTCTTTGCTTAGGTTTTGACTGGAAAGTGCCTTGTCCTGGTTTTCATCCAAAACGGGTTAGGTGGCAGCCCATTTTCCTTGTCTTCATTCTTTCACATTAAATTTAATTACCATTATTTACACAGGAATAAGAAAATCAAGATAAAACTTGTTGTATTTTCTTCCATTGTGAACTGAATGGAAATAAACACAGAAACCAAAGTGCTTAGAGGGGAGAAAAAGAAAAATATGGGGGTCGGATGTTATGCCTGCTTACGATAGAGGGAATGGTTGGAGTGCGAGTGAATTCCACTGCTGAAGAAGGGACTTTGGCCCCTTTCTCCTAGGGCAATACTTGCTTTCCACCAATACAAGCAGTGAAGAAAAAGAAGGCAAGAATCACTCCAGAGCAGTACAGAATCACAAGAGGTTATGAAACGGGCAGGAACAAAGGATGTCTGATTATAAAATAGCTTTAGCAATTAAATTGAACTGTTTTTAGAAACATGGTGAAGAATGAACAAAGCAAAGTACGAAGCAATCGTTTTTAAGGAATAATCTCAAGATAATGTACCGTTACAAAATCCTTCCTTGTTCACTGAAAGCATCATATATGACTATTAAACCCTAATAACCTTTTCCCAGTTCCTGCATTTTGTGTCAGAGTACACTAATTTTGCCAAAGGTAAGTCACTTGTCTTGTTTTGTTTCCTCTGTTTCCTGAGGAGTAAATAAATATTAGTGGATGAATATATTTTGATTATTTCTTTTTCCCCCTCCAGGTTGTATATGATGCTAATACGCTTTATATTTTTGCACCAAGTGCACAAAGCCAGGATCAGTGGGTGAGGAGTCTGAAAGAAGGTAATGGAAATTGCTCATGCTTAACATCTGACATACCTAGATACCTTTACTTGAACCAGTTGGCGTGGTTGGAGTTAACTTGGTGCTGTGTTTGGGATTTGTGGCCGAAGCAGTGTTGAAAGAAACCAGTGTTTTAGTTGCTGCAAGTGGTGCTTGCACAGCATGGAGGCTTTGCCTTTTTCTCCCTCTGCTCTCGCAGCAAGTAGGCTGGGGGTGGGCAAGAGGCTGGGAGGTGACACAGCTGGGACAGTGGACCTGGACTGACCAAGGGGATATTCCAGGTCATATAACATTGTGCTTGGCAATAAAAACTGCGGTAGAGAAAGATGGGGATTGGGGTTTTTGGGCTTCCGCATGGGCTGTTGCTCAGAGACTGGCTGGGCATTGGTCTGTTTGTGGGAGATGGTTAACAATTGCCTTTACATCACTTCTGGATGTGCCTTTATCTCAAGCCACAAGTTTTCTCCTTGCTCTCTCTGTTCTGTCCCACTGGGTGGGAGGAGTCAGAGAGTGGCTGCATGGGTGCTTAGCTGCTGGATGGCATCAACTCACAACAAGTTAGAAAATAAAATGGTAGAGCTTCTGTTGCATGTATCCACCATTTTTTATTTTTTATTGGGCCAGCTCATTGTTTGCATACACAGTGTGTGATAACAGGTACTGGGAGTACCAGCCACCCAGACTGAATTAATTTGGTTTCTGAAATCCAGCCGCAATCAGTATTTGACTCTATGCTTCTGCACAATGTGTAAATCATCAAAAAGCTTATCCAAGCTAGTTAATGGCATCACTCAAAAGACAGGAGGCATCTCCACTGAGATGTGATCTGATTAATTCTGTCATAGTGAGTAAATATTTACTTTTCAAGAGCCTCTTAATGCTTTGTGCCACCATCAAATGCTCACATTAATTTCAGGTGTTCTGTAAAGCAATAAGGAATAATTTCTGTGCTAGGGACTACAGGGCAAGGAATAACCTCTGAAGCTCAGCAACCCCAGGCCTAAGATGGGGGTCAGGAGCCTTTCAGACCAGACACAGGCATTGTGTCATGGCACCGCCATAAATGTCAGCCTTCTTTCCCTCCAGAACACTATTCGTGGAGGAAGTTTAGTCACTTACAGCAGTAATAAAAAGGGGCAGGCAGAATTCCCAGGGCCTTCACAGCTGCCTGGCTGATCTGCAGGGTGGAGGTGGGCACCTGGGTCTCTTTTCACGGATGCACCAAACCCCTGCTGGGGTGGCCAGTTTAGGCAGGGAGCATAGCCCTCTGTTCTGGAATAAAGTCATGTGTTATGCTAAAAACATCCTCTACTACCATTGTGTCACCTCCATGTAAACTTGCAAGAAGGTCCATATGAGAAGCAATGCTAAAGTAAGGACAAGTGAAGGTTATGCCTCATGTCAAAGATACTGTAATATTTATTAAAAATGGCTCTGTTGCAGATTTTTTTTTTGTATCTTTCAATATATGCTCTTTTTATTCTTATAGAAATAAAGAACAACAGCAATATAATGGTAAAATATCATCCTAAATTCTGGACAGAGGGAATTTATCAGTGCTGCAGACAGACAGAAAAATTAGCACCTGGTTGTGAAAAATACAGTCTTTTTGAAAACAGTAAGTACATGCATTTTCATATGAAGCTGTTTTGGCATATTTTTCTGCTTTTTTTATATGATTCTATTATCATAACTGAATGGTCTAGATATTAGGCAAATTTATAGAGCCGAGTCATTGATGTTCTGCCTAAAGTAAGTCAAAATGTTTGTTTCATTTTCAAGCATTTTGTAAAAAATATGAAAGCCAGTAAATTGCCCTTGCAAAAAAATGTTTAGAGAAAGCTGAAAGGAATCATTGAGGTTGCTGAATTTTGCTTGGTTTGTTTTTTCTATCTGAAACTGATTTTATTTGAGATTATTATTATTTATCTGAGGTAAAATATTACCTCAGACTGAGGATAAAACCTGATGGTAAAAAAGATTCAGCTAGAAATCCTTGTCAGCTCTTCAGTTTTAATAAATAACTTCTACATACCCATGTAAAAGAATAATAATTGTGTTGCTTTCAGTGTAGAAATGATACAAGAAGGCTTAATGTACTTAGAGACAGAGAACTGGGTCTTCTTAGAGGTTTGTGAGTATCTGTACGCTGAACCTGGATGAACCATGACTTCCGTAGGAACATGTATCTTTGAGCGTCCACATCACGGGTTCTGCTTGCTCAGCAGTGGATGCTGTAGCATGCAAAGATGTGCAAGTGTGACTCTCACTGTAATGTTGTCCTACATAAGGATACAGTAATTGCATTGTCTGACGTTGCCAAATCTGTGGTGAATGTAGCCTGCTGGCTGATTTAGGATGTTTTTGCAAGAATATTTCATCAACATTTTCCTAATGCTTAATTGGAGCTGTCTTTGCTTTCTGACTTACTAAGCTATCCTGAAGGCTAGTTAAGATACTAAAACCTTATCTGAAGTTTAAACTTTTTATTTAGTTTTTAAATCTATAGCTAAATGGATAGACACAAATCCTTTCCTGTGCTTTGTTTCTAGGTGTAATGGGATTGCCTTCTCCAATGCCAGAAAAAAATGCGGTAGGTAGAATCTTTAAAATATTGCGTAGATAATTGCTGCTTTTTGAGATGGCATTTAAATTTCCTGAGATTCTTTCCGTATCCTGGAGCAAATGTCTATTTCTGTATGTGTCAATGGGCATCATGCTCTATCTCAGGGTGGAAGAAATCTCATTGAAATTTAGCTGTATCTGTACTGCTGGTGGGAGAGGCAGTGAAAAAGCAAATGCCAGCCAGCGTTGCCCTTTATTGACAGCTGTGGGGCTGCAGCTTGAGCCAGCCCCATGGATAGCACCTGGGTGATCATCTGCCACACATCCCAGCTGCCTCCCTGGGCCACTGCAGTTCACTTCTGGGGAAACCCAGAACTAGCTCAGCTTTTGCCTCCGGGGTGCTTGGCTGGTTTGCACTAGTGTGATGGTAAGGGCGGGTGGGGGAAACGAATGGAGCAGAGTGGGATGATAACCATGTTGGGTTGTTTTCAGCGAAGGCCTCCACCACCTGTTCCTCCAGTTGAAGAAAATGGCAATGAAGAGGAGGAGATAGTGGTAGCAATGTATGACTTTGAGCCTACAGAGCATCATGATTTAAGGTTAGAGAAAGGTAAAGAATATACAGTGATTGAGAAGAACGACATTCACTGGTGGAAGGCAAGAGACAAATACGGGTAAACATGAGTTCCTTATTTTTTGTTATGAAGTTCATAATAAGGCTATTTCCATGTTGTAGTAGTTTATATTGACTATATGTCAAGAAATAACTGTATTTGACCCCACTTTGGACCCCAGCCCTGAAATCTCATCAGTATCTTTATTCCCACATAGAAACCAATTTTTAAAAGTGCAGTTCTCAATAGATTGTGGGGCCTGAGTGCAAACACAGTTGCAGAACCTGCAAGCTTTTCCAATTGTGTTTCCTGTCAGATGTTATGGTTTCCCAATTAAAGCATTAGCCAGCCTGCAAAACCTCACTAGACTGGTACAGTAGTCTCACTTCCCTTGGGGAATGGCTCATTAGGGAACAATATGGTTAACACTTAGCTCAGCAGGCTCCAAGGTCCAGACTTGAATACTCGTAATCTTATTTAATAGCTGGATCATTAGGAGCAATCTTTGAATGAGTTGACAGAGAGTTGCAGTGAGATGCCTTAATGACTACAACTTTACATTCCCTAGATTAAAATTTTTCCGTGCATTTTTAAAGGTGATTTTCCATACTTTGATGTTTATCAGGTCCCTGTTGCAGTGTGTTGGGGGTAATTGTGAGTTATCAGGCTGTGGCAGGTTCCAAACATATTTCCAGTGACTGACTGGAACCTCCAAGTGCAGAAGTGACAGAGCAGCACAGGGTTACTCTTCTGCACCCCTTCTGATGATTTTCTTGGAGACTTTTGCTGCCTGTGTCACTTCTCTAGGTGCAGTGAAGTTAACTTGGAAATGTTGACACTGGAAATTAGTTTCTGTATAATCAGCAATAGAATGGGTGGGCCAGTAATAAATAAATGACAGCAAGGGATCTCTGGTAATTAGCAGAATGAAACATTGTCTTCTAGGCATGCAATTTTACATGTTTTCACTCAGACTATATACTTTTTTTTAGAAAACAAGGATATATTCCAAGCAACTATGTAATAGGAAAGAAGTCCAACAACCTTGATCAATATGAGTAAGTGAAAATTTGAATTAAAATCTGGAAGATCATAAAATGAAACCTATGCTTTAAGAATGACAATGTATTTTTAAAGTTTTGAAAGCAATTATTTACATGCAATAGCATTAATCTCAGAGATGAGACTTAAATACTTGAAATAGGAATATATTTCTTCTGATTCTTCTTATTGATTTTGCTGTGATTTATAATGTAGAGTCAAGTCAGTGAGATGGCCATCAGGCATGTGGTTTTTAGGTTACCGCTATTAAAGCAAAAAAAGCCCCTCCCAATTCTGATAGACAAAGAGAAATTTTAAAGGAAATTTCCCCATTATAAGTGTGCTGAATTTTTTTAATGTTAAAAGTGACATGTCTAGCCAAAGTATGTGGCAATACCATAGTGGAGTAGAAAACAGTGGAAATCATTCAACGCAAGCAACAGATCAGAGATTTTGGGAAGGAAGCTCTAACTTTCAAAAAAAATGTATCAGTGCATTTTAAGTCTCAGTGTATGCATGTAACTTAGCAGCTATAAAAGTATAGTGCTGTGTTGTGTGTGTGTGTGTTTTTTTTTTAAAGAAAGCCTTTTTCCAATTGGTGTTTCGTTATGGAGTACTTATTTAAGAACATCAGGATAAAATTTAATGCTCTAGTCTCCAAGCCTGTTGTTCTTGACATTCAAATTTCAGTACAGCATAAATTGTTGTGCCTGAGAACTTAAGATGTATTTCATGACTTTTAGATAAAGTGGAGCTGTAAGGAAATAATAATTAAAGCCAGTTTACGAAACCACATTAGTAGCTCCAAAACTCTATTCTCAGCCATGTATGGCTCCTACTGCTGTGTTTTGACAGAAGGTAAAATTTCTTCTGGGATTTTGCCCTCAGCTTTCCTAGAGGGAATTATTTGTTCTTTGTGGCTTTCTCATCTTTGAGGCTCTTGCTTAGAGCCCTGCACTGCTCTGGGCTGGGCTCTGGGGCTGGCAGAAAGGGAAGGAAGGAACTGAGCTGCCTTATCTGGTCCAGCCACTTTGTGCCTTATACCTTGGGGCCGTACTTCTGAGTCACTGCGCAGCCCAGTGAGGATTACTCAGGGTCATCTACCAACTGCAAAAAACCACTATCTCCAGAATGGCAGAACTTGATTAGAGGCTGCTGTGCCACTTCCCTGCTCAGTTACCGCTGTGACAGCATGGCTCAAAATGATTGCACCATGCCATTTGCGAGCTTGTGTGTTTTTTCCTTTTTATGTTATCTGCTGCAGCTGGCTGAAATGTCAGTGCTTCTGTGGCTGCTTTAACCTGCCCATGCAGCACTGAGCTCGGGGGTGTGCAGCCGTGACATTTAATTCACTTTCAACCTCCTCTGCTAGGTGGGTCCTCCCTGGAAAATCAGAACTGTGAAGTTATTGAATAAACTAACAGTTTAGCAGCCAGCCCTACAGGTGGCTTCCCTCGGGCTCCCAGCCTGCCCTCGGGCTGCCATTCAGAGCAACTACTGCCATCAACCTGCAAGTGTTTTGAGAAGCATTTTTGCTGCAAAATTAGCTCAGTTACCTGAACTTTATTGGCTTCTGTTCGATCTCACTGGGTTTGTTTCAGCGCATTTTTATGGGATAACTGCGCAATGTAATAGGGACTGATTTTTGTAGGTTAATGAAGGTTTAGTTCTTGACCTTCACTTATCATAAAATTATTGAGTCTGTAGCTTTGTAATACTTTGTTTTAAGCATTTTGTGTAAATCATGCACATTGAAGAAGTTTTGGTTGCTGATCTTGTGTTGCAGGTGGTACAGCAGAAACCTGAACAGAAGCAAGGCAGAGCAGCTCCTCAGAAATGAGGTAAGCCCAGCAGCCTTGCAGTATTAACCATGAAGTTTGTGTAAAGTAGCTTCTTTAATTAAAGCAAATGCTTATTTTGGTGTGCGCAAATCGCGGAACGAGTAGAAGAAACATGTAGCTTGAAACCACTTGTACAAAACTGTCGATGTGCTTGCATTTTAGGATAAAGAAGGTGGTTTTGTGGTGAGAGACTCAAGTCAGCCTGGCCTGTATACAGTTTCCCTTTATACAAAATTTGGAGGGTGAGTTTCTGTGACTGCTCTGCACACCCTGTCTTGTCTGAATCCATTTGCATCTGTATCCAAACCCATGGGCTGAGGGAAAGCCCAGGGAGAGAGCTCAGTAAAGAAGTGAGGGCTGTTGTGGTAGAAAAGATGTCTGACTAAAATGAGCTTCTCGACTCCGTGGTTAGGTCAGGTTTGGTTTAATCCACTGTAGACCTGAACTCCCCCACCATGTTTGGTCTTTTCCCTCCTGCCAGCCCAAGTGTTTGTATCTGTATGGGTTGAGCTGGATGGGGGAGCTCCACAGGCTGAAAATTAACTTTTTATTGGTTAATCTTCAACTTGGTCTGAGGCGAGTCACCAACACTGGGGATCTTTGATATTCAAGCTGTTCCCGAATTGTGACATTGAGCACTTGCACTGGCCCTTTCGGTTTCCTTTTCCAAGTCAGCGTGCTCCTCTTAAATTCACAACAACTGACATTGTATTATTACTAATTGTTACTATTGCTATTATTGTTGTTATTTTTCCAGAGAAGGCTCATCAGGAATAAGACACTACCATATAAAAGAAACAGTGACCTCACCAAAGCAGTACTACCTCGCAGAAAAACATCTCTTTAACTCCATTCCAGAAATAATTGAGTATCATAAACATAATGCAGCAGGTAGATGAATACTATTTTTTCTGTCACTGAGGGTTGATTTGAAAAGATGTGTGGAGTGTTTAAGGGTTTTAATGAAAGTTTTTAGGTTTTTATAGGTCATTCTTCTTTAGGGAAGTCATGAGACATTGTCTTTTCACATTGTTTCAATATAGGTGATCGTTTGAAAGGTTTTATGCAGATATATGTATATTAAAATACATAAATACGTTACTGGTCCCAGAGTAACAGAAGAATAGCTTTATTGAATCAGGAAAAATCATTCATTTAGCTCCACATACTGTCTCTATCAGCTGCCTGTAACCCACAGCAGATGGATAGGGATGGTACTTCCCCAGAATGTTCTCCAGGCGCTAGCTTTTTACCTGTGGGTCAGCACTGCTTCAAATGATCTAAGCTTCCCATATAGCAAACAGATGAGGAGAACAGTAATGTGTTGTTCAGGAAATCCCTAAAGATGAGTCCTTGTAAAGGTTAGACGCTGCAGATCTATAGCTGATGGCTGATGCTGGTGTCCGCCCACTGCATGATGAGGTGGGGAGAGTTTAAGAATCAGGTTCAAGGCACAGATACTAATATATTGTATTTTTTTCGAGTCCAGTCTGTGCATAAATTTCCCTCATGAGCTATATTTTACAGATATTTATATAAAACTCAGATGACCCACAATTTCCTGATGATATTCTGGAAAATGCCTTTCTGGAAAACACGCTCCAAAAACATAACCAGGCTTTTCATTTTATTATAATGGATTTTACTTCTTATTTTTGATTGCTTCATTCTTTTTGTCATATCAAGTTCTGACAAGATTTTAGGAGAATATTCAGCTAGCATGCAGCATTTATTTTGTATGTATAAGATCCCCACATGAAACTGGTGGGATTTATATGTGTGAAACAGAAATGATCAGAAGTAACATTGTGAGTTTTAGATAATCTTTCTGATCTGATTTATGAAAGGGGTCCTCCAGCCTTTATTGGTGCCAGCATAACTTTAAAGCCTAAATATGTATGCATATATCTGTATCCATCTCTCACTAGTAAAGAAGATGCAAGAAGTTAGATGTAGCAAGTGCTCCTGTGTAAGTCTTGTAGGCACTTTGAATAGTCAACACAACACAATAGCAGAAAATGTGGTCAAAGCTGTATATAACGATAAATTTATTGTTGCTTACTGCAAACTTCAACAGCAATTAAGTGGCTGATTTGCTACTTGGCACTATTTCACTGTCTCTCTTGAATTATCATTGAACTTCAGGTCTTGTTACCAGGCTGCGCTACCCAGTGACCCCAAAGAAGACGACAGCACCAACAACAGCAGGATTCAGCTATGGTAATAGCATGTTATATTCATCTACATGTATCTTTTCTCATTGTTTCATATATGTTAAGATGCTACATTATTTTCTAAAAATTTTGAAAAGACCTCATTTTGTAGTGTGCTTGGCTATACTAACTTACGTGGGTCCAAGTCATGCCTTGGAGACCCTTGCTCAGAGGATCAACGTGCAAAGGCATCATGGCTGATGGTAGACATGTGGTGCCAAGGGTGAGGAGAGGCAGAACATGTTGCTGGTGCTCCAGGGGAATTCAGCATCTTCCTCTGTGCTTTTCTGGACACCTTGAGCCCTACCTGATTAAAGAGCTCTGCCTTTGGCTCCTTCATAAGCCTCCAGACTTCTGACTCAACCTTGGCCCTTTGATCTTTGTGGAGGGGTTACATTTTTTAATATAAATTTGGAATAACCTGTTTTAAGTATAGCACATCAGGTGATATGAGCAGCTGCTACGCATTGGCACAACTTTCTGTGATGGCAGCTTGCTGAAATCAAGTCTGATAATATCAGTATGTAATTACTGGCCTCAGGAAAGTATGAGTTTTGCCTTCTGTTTTGATCAGGAGCTGCTTAAAAGTCATATCTACTTAAAAGTTTGTTTGTTTTGTGTGCTATAGAAGTGTTCAGTTTTCAAGTTAATTCTAAGACATTTTCTTCCTAAATTCCCTAATTTGCTAGTAATCCGTTTTCCCTTTTCCTTATCACCTACCAGTTCAGTAGGGTCCTTAATAGAGGAGTCATGGGCTCTCATTTGTTTTGTTTTATAGAGAAATGGGAAATTAATCCCTCAGAATTGACCTTCATGAGAGAACTGGGGAGCGGTCTGTTCGGGGTAGTGCGCCTTGGGAAATGGAGGGCGCAGTATAAAGTGGCCATCAAGGCAATTCGGGAAGGTGCGATGTATGAAGAGGATTTCATTGAAGAAGCTAAAGTAATGATGTGAGTTGTGTGCTTGGCACTTTTATTGCCAGTTCTAGGCTTCTGATGCTATATACTTATTATAAATAAAACACTTGGGGCAGGTGGTATGTTTGCAGTATTGTGGGGTGGAGAGCTAGCACTGGGCAGAGGAAGTAATAATGTTATTATCTCAATATTTTCAGGAAGCTAACACATCCTAAATTAGTTCAGCTGTATGGTGTGTGCACACAACAGAGACCTATTTACATCGTGACAGAGTTCATGGAGCATGGCTGCCTTCTCAATTACCTGAGACAAAAACGGGGAGTTTTGAGTAAAGACATCCTGCTCACTATGTGCCAAGATGTATGTGAGGGAATGGAGTATCTGGAGAGAAACAGCTTTATCCACAGAGACCTGGTAACATCCCATTAGGCATTCTTTTTAAACATTTTTATCTTTGAACTTACCTATTCCTTTTTGAAACAGCCTGTTTGTAAATGACTGCTTTTGTTCTTGCAGAAAATAAGTAGTTTAAGTTGGCTCTCTATGTTCTAAGCAAGTCTCTAAAGCTGCCCCATACAGAAAACTATGAGCGAGAGAATGGAATAAAATCTCTCTGAAATTTTTATAAAAAGTTGATAGCTATTTGCACTGAAATAATAACATATCTCTGTTCTATACTGGTGCCATTTTCACCACTCATGAATTCCTCAAGATGACAGTTTTTTTTCTGGTGGTATTTTAGAAAATGGTTTAGTTGTCAAAACAGTACTATGAAGAGCAAATGCACATGTACCTTTTATTCCAGAGCATAATGAGAATACACCACTGAACTTGGTAAATTGGCAAATTTGCCAAGCGTTGAAGACAAAGTCCTCATTAGACTGTTGTAATTTGTCTGCAAGAGACTGCAATTTTTTCATCCAACTCTAACCATTCCCTTTGCAGGCCGCCAGGAACTGTTTGGTGAGTGACTCAGGAGTGGTCAAAGTGTCGGATTTTGGAATGACAAGGTATGGCTGAGTGTTTAAACACATTTCACAGAATCACAGAATGGCAGGGGTTGGAAGGGACCTCTGGAGACCATCCAGTCCAACCCCCCTGCTAAAGCAGGCTCACCTACAGCAGGTCGCACAGGGTCATATCCAGGCGGGTTTTGAATAACTCCAAAGTAGGAGGCTCCACAACCTCCCTGAGCAGCCTGTTCCAGTGCTCTGCCACCCCCAGAATAAAGATGTTTTTCCTCATGTTCAGGTGGAACTTCCCGTGTTCCAGCTTGTGCCCGTTGCCCCTTGTGCTGTCATTGGGCACCACTGAAAAGAACCTGGCCCCATCCTCTTGGCACTTGCCATTTAGATATTAATAAGTGTTGATAAGGTCCACTCTCAGTCTTCTCTTCTCCAGGCTAAAAAGCCCCAGGTCTCTCTGCCTTTCCTCTTAGGAGAGATGCTCCAGTCGCCTAACCATCTTTGTGGCCCTCCACTGGACTTTCTCTGGTAGCTCCCTGTTCCTCTTGAACTGTGGGGCCCAGAACTGGACA